TTATTCTTTGTAGTAAGAAAAGACTTCCTAAAGTTACTATAACTTTTATTCTGCTATTATGACCAACTGGGCTTGAATTTGACTTATTGACTAAATTGAATTAAATATTGAACGGTTGAGCTAATCATTAACTCGGCTAAAATTCTCTGTCGTCACAATTTCCTTTGCCCGGTTGCACGAAGAATGGATATCATTAGCAGAAGGATAAATCTTATCCAGTGAATAAATTTATTGGATATCAGCATCGACTTATCAACTGGATAAGGATTTGTCAATCGGATAGCCTATCCAGGCTTCGTACAACTGGGCCCTGTCGTCCAGCATGTTTGCGTCGCACCGTCTATGAGTGTAAAAGCCTTTTGAACCAGACTTTCTTTACTTTTTCACTCAATATTCCAGCATGCGATGTAAAGTTTGAAGCCGTGGGATGTTTCCATGACGACCTCATTCTACCAAGGCCCCTACCTGACCTGATCCTCAGTGAAAGAGACTCAACCAGCCCTGTATTTAACGGCCGTCGCATTGATTGGTTAAATTGGGACACGTATGTTCCAGAGTTCATCTGCAGATGTGCAAAACAGGCCAAGGAGTTTCAACGGGAAGTATTTGGCTTACAGTTTTACGGTTAGTTTTAGACCCGGTTTTAAATACAACCATGCTTCCTTGTTCCACAGCGTCAAAAGAAAAAAAATAGAAAAAGCGCGTACGTGCTATATGTTCAGTTATAAAGCACGCGGGGATTGGCAAGACACTCGAGAAGTGTCGAGAAGCACGTCTCGTTGAGGAGTCTCAGCCGCACCTCTTTTAAAAGCGAATAATTCTTTAACGAATTCTGCATTTCTTGTTTAGGTGAATGTTGGTCAGGAGTTAACGGAAACAACACCTTCAACAGAAATGGACCATCTACAAAATGCATAGGGCCTGGGTACCAGCCGTGTACGCCTGGGTCCAAGACATGTATTGGGATGACTAGTACTAACTATGTATATAGAATAGTACCATAGTGCTTTAGATTCGCGTATAACGTTGTTGAGATGAACTGACTGGCGGCTAGCATCATTTCTATCAAAATATTCTAATCATTGCCGAAAGGTAGGAACTTCGTATATGGTACATTGTCTTATTTGTACCAATAAATGTATGTGGTGATCAACGTGTTTGTACCATGCATGAAGTACCATACAAATTAAGCCTCGTAATCAAATCTGAATTTTAAGATATCCAACGTACAATAAGAACATTTTCAACACTTGATCAGAAAAAAATATTCCCTTTAGTGTTTTGACTCCAACGAGTCAGGGAATCAGGTGAAGACCCCTTTAAAATTCTTGTAAAAACAATGTTTAGTTATTTTCTTAATCGGACTTTTTGTTGTGATGGATAAAATTTATATATTGAGTCCTGCTTCAACCACTTTCCTTTTTCTTGGCTCTTTCTTGCTTTCTTGCAAATCTTGCATACTATTAGTTTAAGTGATTATTATTTTAGCAGATACTATTCACAACTGAAAACACAAAGCATGATGGTATAGTTCTGGTTCGGCATCAGCTCTGGTAGGTGGTTTGTGGATTAAGTCCTAGGGCAGGCTATTATTTGTCGCCTAAGAGGGGAGATGAGGTAGAGTTGGATGATTTTTGTTGCGACATCACACTAGGTACTATTCGTTTATGATCCCCTCAATAGTGATACGCATGCATGCCTCCTTCCCCCCCCCC